AAAATGGGAAGAATTTACTCAATTATATCTTCATTTTCTAAAAGAAAAGGAACTATTTTGGACCATCCATTTTCAATAAGGACAACAAGTAATGTGGTCCTGGGGAAGAAAAAAATAAAATAAAGAACTAGGGATATGATGTATAGATCTTGTACCAACAGGCATATTTTCATGATAAAACAATGAAGCCTCAGAGTTTGGGTCAACTATAGGAATCCCCCACTCTCCATTTTGCTCCATTTGAAGCCGTATTATTCCAACATTCCAATAACCAGCACTCTAGTATTTCTATGCACTTGAGTAATTCTGATCACCAAAGTTTAGACAGATGGGAAATAATCACCAAAAATCTCTTCTTATTTCTCCTTTTTGTACAATATGGGGAATCTACCGTTAAGCTAGAACTTAGACTTCCCTCCTAACTTATTAGTTATTACACCCCTCACACAGACTTGGATCATGATCGTGATCCATGTTCACCACCCCCACCGCCCAAAAAGAAACATGATCAAACCTAAATGCAAACTCATATACGCTCTGTTAATGAAAGTTAATGAATGAAAGAGGAATATGATCACAAACTATAGTTGTTGTATGGGATGCTCATTTGAAACCTTTGTCTTATCAATGCGAGAAAGACAGAAGTTCGGACTGCAATCCCGATTAGTAACTTCTATTACTAATAGAGATCCCGATTAGCTATTACCCCCTCCGGACCACTTTACTTGTCGACCTTACTAAAAATAGATGGTCCAAAAATAATTGTCATTTAAGAAAATCAAGATATAATTGAGTATAACCTTCCCATATTAACCTTAGTAATAACTATTTTGAAAGTAATAAACATTGATTAATTAGCATAGGCAACCTACGTGTAGAGATATACGTACTCCAATATTATATTTGCTTAGATAATCTCTCTTTTTGTTTATTGATTAGAGATTAAAGAGAAAATATTGAAGAGAGACTAACATTTTAAATGATTAATGATAATACATAAGAATATGATAATCAAAACACATAGTTCATAAAGGACATGCAAACAAAAAATGTGACAAGTAAAGTGGTCCAGAGGGAGTCTATACTGGCTAACACACTGTTAGGGTCACCTCTCTAAGTTAGACCAGTTGAACTCCTCATAAGTACCGATCTGACCAATGATGGGTTGCACATCTACACCTCGAGCATCTGGATATTTCAATCTATGCAAAACTGTATTTAGAATGGTTACTCACCCTAAACAACTCATTTTCTATAAAGTCAAATCCAGACAAAGTCCTACATAAAAGTCAACTCATATAGATGCTCTCTTAATTTCAGACATAAGAACATGAATCGCCAAATTTTGAGGTCACTATGGTGTCTCAGATTTTAAAAAAAGTGAGGTTGGAAGTTGCATATTTTAGCTAGAACTATTGGTTCCCTAACTTAATTTGTAGCTAAATCTGCTGAGATACATATAAAAGGCACTTTCAGGTAGCAACTAATTTTTAGTTCTTTTGGGCAATTTTAAGCAAAGATCTTCATCTAAAGCATTAAATTTCTAAGAGGCTTCATAAGGTGAATGATTCTCTACCACTTTGTAATTATCACACTCAATTTCATCCATTAAATCATTTGACTGAGATGTAAAAGTGTTAATCCTATGGAATTTTAAAATATCAAATTGAATCAGTAAATGACATCAAAATTAGAAATTAATATTAGATTTTGTTTTACCCACTTCAAGGGTTTTCCCAAAAGATATCTTTCAACACATTTGGGTGTTGATGGCCACGGGTTAACTTCAACTTTGACCAGATTTGGACTTCTCGGAAAATGACTTGTGTAAGGCAATTAACCATTCTAAATCTGTTTTTGAATAGAATGAGATATTCAGGAGTCCCAAGGGCATAGTTTTGATCATTGTGAGCTGGATAGAACTACGTTACCAAGTGGGGGATCTTAACTCTTGAGTCACTTCTTTAAGAACAGCAACAAAAGTTATGATGCTTTCATGATTTGTAATCATGGAGGTCTTTTCATGGGAGCTTCCAGCAGAACTTGAAAGAGTTGGAAGCAGAAGTATATAGTCCATTACATGAGGGGAGGAGTTGAATGCAGGCACACTGATGCAAAGTGCTTGAATTATAGGCATTAATTGGACAGGATATGAATGTGCGTGTTTATGCACAAAACATTGCAAATAGCAACTAAATTCAGCACATATATATTAGGGATAGGAAAGTGATAGGAAATTCAAAATGGAATCTCAAAAGTCCAAGCCAGCTGAAGTTGAATGGATATTGAAAATGCAAATCTCAAAAGTAGTCAAAACCCATTTCAAAATAAGCAATGTACAAACAGACTAATCACAGGCACATAAAGGCCATATAACACTTTCACAGAGGCAACCCTCATACATCACATATAACATTGCACTGGGTTACCCAAAAGAATGAATCAATTAGAACTCCAACACTTAAAACCTGAACAAAACAAACCAAATACGGGGCAAGGCACCAAAGTTGCTATCTTTAAACTAATAATCACAACATTTCTAACACACACAATCCAAAAATCCACATAGAGAAATGTATCTCATCATACCTCATTAATAGCCAGCATCTGCCCGTTGCTCTTCTTCACCTTCTTAAGTTTCCTCAGAAAATACCTTTTATTCGAACAAACCACAATTAGCCTAACCATTAACCAGCATAAATACATCAAGTAGATCGATAGGAAACGAGATGTAAATACCAGAACTTGGACTTAGCACGAACTTCATTGGTAGCCCACAGCTTCATACGATAAATCTTGGGATGCTCATCTGATTCAGATGGCAAAGCTCTCCCAACAACCTGATACTGATGGAACTGCAATGACAACAATAAAACACCATTGTTTATTCAAATCTTTGAGAGAATCAGATAAAAATACAAAATTTTGGAAACCCATTAAAGAAAAGAAAACCCTTTACCTTGTAATTCACCATTTTTGCACAGCTATTCCCTCTGCGACGCTTCTGAATACGAAAGGGAAGAAGAGCGAAGAGAAAGAAAGGTTTTAAGTTAAAAGGGCCTCCACAAAAACCCTAGTTTCAAAGGGCTACTAATTTGGGCTTTAAAAGGAGTGGACTTAGTCTTTAATGAACCGGCCCATCAAATTAATATTGAGAGAAAATTTCATAACTAGCCGCATTTTGATGCGTGTATATATAGAGTCCCGAGCCAAAAGAATAAAAAAATTGTGTAAAATTTTCAAAAGGGAAATAAAAATTGATGATCAAACCATAAGGGTAACATTTGGATGAAAGGATGGATGTCGTTAAATTGTAGGTTGGAAGGCACACGCTGACATGAGCCTTACAATTACAACATAAAAAAACGTTTAAAAAATAGTAATATTTTCTTTTCCGTTATTTATACAATCGTTTTGTTGTTGTATTTTCTTGTTTATTCAAACCGTTAAGAACCGATAATGTTATAACAAAAAAAATCAAAACTATTATCAATTAAATATTGAACCCATTAAATTTAAATTGATCATAATCAATCTCTCGTGGCACACACTTATTTGTAGATGTACGTACGCACATATATAGTTCTGTAATTTTATAAAATATACATATTACACTGATGACATATTTATATATATTATTAATAATTGAATTTAAAAAGCCATGAATCTTAGTATCGGGCTTATTTATATGTATTTATATATATTCTTTACTATTCATTCAATCGTTTTGTTATTGTATTTTCGTGTTTTTTTTTCTTTCTATTTTTATTATTTATATGTAAATAAAAATGTAAGTGATGCGGTCAAGTTAAATAGTTTTCTTATATATATAGTTTGATAATATTGAAGACAAAATATAGGTACATGAAAAAAAATAATATAAAAGACAAAACTTCTAATGTTTTGAGTTGCTTGGATGGCAAGCACCCCTCACTTCCAACCCGAAAGTTGTGAGTTGGAGTCACCAAGGGAGCAAAAGGGGTGGGAGCTCCTAGGAAAGGATTAAAAAAAAAAAAATTGCCTTCAATCCTACCTTTTGAGGAAGAGGCTGCTAAGGAAGGTCTTTTAATCATAATGCCTCTATGGACGGGCGGCATGCTCCATTCTTAGTATTGCACAGTCGCCCCTGCATGAGTAGATGCGTGGAGGCAAGCGAATAAAAGTAGTCTTTCTCTGCAGCAAGCATATTCAAGTACCGAACAGTTCGAGGAGTAGGCTTACTGATGCTGAACTCTATTCCTTAGGTTCGAAGGTTCATAAGTTCGTAGGAGGAGCCTTATGTCGTATGCCCTTCTTTCTAAAAAGTGGAGTTTTGACAGACTCTTTGTGCCTATGTGTGAAAACGAGTATGTGAACAGAACATCTTTCAATCATCGAGAAGAAATAAGTCATGGGGCCGGCAAATGAAACTAAGAGTTGCTCAAGGCACCACGAGCCCTTGGCACAACGATCAGGTCAAACAAAGTGATATTATTTTTAATTCATTTTTGAAGCCCTGGGTACCAAGCAATCCGTTTAGATCTATTTTAGTCGATGAAAATTTTGGTTTTGCACAAAATACACATCAAAATGAATTTGAAAAACTCACCATTTTGTGTTTGGGAGATTAATATTTTCAAGATAAGTAATACACTCTTTAAATAATTATTGAAATATTTAATTTATATTAAATTATGTGTCAATAATTTTACATCTTATTGGAGAATGACATCTCTCAAAGTCAAAATGATATATATATATTATGTTAAACAAATTTATCTTGTGATTAAAAAAAAAACAAAGTGAGGAGGAAAATGTTTTTTCACAAAAAAGAAAGGAAAATCACTATATAAATTTTATGTTAAATTTTTTTTAGAATGAATTAATTACTCTAAAACTAATCCCCAAATTTAATTATTTCTCATCCCTCTTAAGCCCTTAAAAAAAATTAAAATTTGTATACTAAAATTGCAAATATATCCAAATTAAGGGTTACTTTTATAGTATTATCAAACTTAAACTGAAGAAGCATTTTGACTATTTTAGCTCTGCAACTTCCCTGATTTCAGCTCCAAAATTCTTCACTCTTCATTCTTCAATCTCTCGTAAATCCTCTGGAAAAAACCCCTAATTGTTAGGGTTTTAGTAAAACTCTTCAAATTCTCGTCAAAATTCACTTCATTGTTTCATTTTTGAAGTTTCAGCGAATCAAAATTGCGAAAGTTGTGATTCAAATCGACGATCTAGATGAAAACTAGGGTTTTTTTACTCTGTTTTCTCATCCTTTCGTCGAATTTCTCTCATTTGCAATCGGAGGAAACGAAGACTAACAAATTCCGAGAACGAGAAGCTACAGATGATTCCAGTGCTTATCCAAATATGTAATGTTTCGATTCACTCCAATCTCTTCTGTGTTTACTTGCAATGATGTGGGAAATTAGTTGTTTTGACTTAATTTTTCTGTAATGCTAATTCCTGGTTTTAATTTTAGCTGCATTTGTGTTCTTTAGTGTTTAATGAGTATTTGTTGTGTGTATTAGCGTGAATTTTGATCAATCTCCTATTTTGTGTAGCTATATTTGGAGTTTAGTCAATCTCATTCAATCTCTTTTATATTCAATTATACGCACCATGGAAAATTGTATGCTGATTTAATGTTGTTGTAAGAGAGATCTTTGTTTTCAACTCTTGCTTACTTGTTGTTTTATACTCTCCCTATTTCAATTTATACGACATAGGTTGACTGGCTACAAAGTTTAAGACAAAAGGGAATATTTTTGAAACTTGTGGTTGGAACAATTGTGTCGTTATAAAGCTTTTGAAACTGCTGGTTTTAAATATGCCATAACATTGTTGTGGTTATAAAAGCTTCTTATTAAGGGTAAAATGAAAAGTTCAAGTTAAATTGTTTCTGAATTTAGAAATGTGTCATTCATTTTGGAATAGATTGATACGGAATTGTGCCATTCTTTTTGGAATGGAGGGAGTAGTAATTATTGGAAATTTCTCTACTTATTTTTCGTGATTTTTCTTTTGTCAGTTTCATACTCTGTTTAGCGATATTTGCAGTAGTTGATGATAGACTAAGAAAGCAGTAAGAGCTCTTGAGGATAAATTAATAAAGTTGAGACTGTATGTTTGACGAAGGGAAAAGGGTAAAAAATGTCCTCCTTCCATCTATTGGATAAAATTTGACCCTCTTCCACCTATTGGATAAAAAATATCCTTAATGTAGTAGAAGTGGCTCAAAAATGCCTCCTTCCAAGTTCCACCTATTGGATGAAAAGTATCCTTAAATTTTAACTAAATATGTGGCCTTCATTAAATACGTGCCCATGGCCTTCACTAGTTCTCACAATGAGATTCATTTAGTTGATAATCATACTATCATCAACTCCCATGGTCCCATGAAAAATGGAAGCTTATGGCTGGCTCTCAAGTACTGAAATAATTGTGATATATGCAATATATAAACTTTTTGTAAATACTAAGCTTGATTTAAGCAGCCCTGCAATGCTCAAATTTTTTGAAAGAAATGACATCGCAATATATGCTAGTTCAAATTTTATGGGACCAATAAATAAGTCCACGTATTTAATTAAATTTCATATAATTGTGTCGTAATTGAAGGGTCAGTTTTAAGCCTGAAAATAACTTTAGGGGCAAGCTTGTTCCAATAGGTGGAGGGAGAGTATTTTTGAGCCATTTCTAAGATATTAAAGGCATTTTCACCCTATAAGTGGAAGGAGGAGATTTTAGAGCCATTTCTAGTAATTTAGGGACATTTTTTTATCCTTTTCCGTTTGAGGAATATGCTCTCATTCTTAGTTTCTTTTTTGGTTGACCTATGAAGTTCCAGTTTGTATGGAAATTCTTCCCTTTTCTGTTTTTTATTTGACATCATGAGAGAAATGGTTAAAAAGTGCTTCAACTTTTCTGCTTATCAACAAGACAATTAAAAAATTGTTGAGTTTTTTAAAATGTATTCTGCAGAGATGAGGATGAATTGCTGAATACACAATGCCCCCAGCATTTGGAGCTAAGATGGCAGACAGAAGTTAGTTCTAGTGTGTATGCCTCGCCCTTGATAGCTGACATTAACAGGTAACATGATACAAGCTTCTGATTTTTGTTCTGTAATTTATTTTGTTTGACATGTTCTGTATTTGTTTCTTGGATTGTGATTCTTTAGTGGTAAGGGTTCTGCATTAACTTACTGTCACAAACTAGTTTAATCAATTGAACTGTGATGAAAGAGAAAAAAGAAAGTTAATCATATTGATTTTCTCTGTTCTGGTGGCTGGAATTTATAAGAGAGATAACCAGTGAATTTACATGGTAAATGAGTGTGTCTTCAAGCACAGTCCCCTCTCATCAAAGAGACAAATAAAAGCAAAATGTACCATTATACCAGTTCTACCAAATTTGACGAGTATGAGTTTTTGAAGTTTAACAATATCATTGCAATGTTTTCTTAATCTATTCCTTTTGGCTCATTTATTCATCCTAACAATATTTTCAATTTCTTTGTTAGTGATGGGAAGCTTGAGGTTGTAGTTCCCTCGTTTGTTCATTACTTGGAAGTTCTGGAAGGTTCTGATGGAGATAAACTGCCAGGTATAATTTGTGGGAGGTTGGTAGTGAGAGTAAATTCAAGAACTTCTATGAAAATTTAAATGAAAACTATTTGGTTAGCCACAGAAGACAGGAAACATCCCGTACCTGGTGCATAGTCACCCAAACTAGCTTATAAATTGGATCTGAATTCAAATTTGGCATATCGAAGGACAAAATAATGCCTTATATGAATATTTTTCTAGAAGAATACTCATGAAATGTGAGAATTATGTAAAATGGGGATGATATTTCTGTTAATTATATTACTTCACCTTATCAGGATGGCCAGCTTTTCATCAATCTACCATTCATTCCAGTCCTTTACTGTATGACATTGACAAGGATGGAGTGAGGGAGATAGGTTTGGCCACCTACAATGGTGAGGTGCTCTTTTTCAGGTAATGCTACAGCATCTTTCTTTATATTGTCTTCTTTTAGTAATCAGATATTTTCTTTATTCAACATGACATGGTTAGCATCTAAATAGGGTGTCAGGATACTTGATGTCTGATAAACTTGAGATTCCTCGGTTGAAGGTAAAAAAGAATTGGTATGTGGGTTTGAATTCAGTCCCTGTGGACCGTTCTCATCCGGATGTCCACGATGACCAACTAATCCAGGAGCATCTGATGGAATCTGTAGTTCGTAAGTATTTCCCTTTTTTACGTGCAAGTCAAATGCATCTTTACCTCCATGAGGTAGTGGTAAGGTCTGTGTAGATTCTACCTCCCTAGACCTCACTTAGTGGGACTTCACTAGGTATGTTGTTGTTACGTGCAAGTCAAAATGGGCATAGAAATTCTTGGATTTTTCCATTGATGTATCTTTCTTTCCTCTTCTAATGCCTGTTTGTTTTCCTTACATATACAAAACTGAACCAGAATAGGATCGCAGTGATCTTTTCTTTTCCAAGTGTGCTATGACACTTGTTAGAAGTCTGAAGCAGCAGCAATTGAACTTCATTCATTAATTTTATAAGTTAATAGTGCTGGAATCAAAATTTACTGCCTCTTAAACTATAAATTATCCAGTATGAATTCTTTCTTCTAGTATGTATTATGGTTTGTCACTTGTATTTTGGTACCTTGGGTAACATTTCATCTATAATTGGGCATCTTATCATGTTTTATGGACTTAAAACTTGTAGCAAGAGCCTGCGCTCTCTGTTTATATGTTTTGTCTTATTTCAGTGTTTTCCAGTGGGATTTAGCCTGGATTCAGCCTTCAGTATCTATTTAGATTTAACAAGCTACTATGGAATGACTAGTTTCTTGAAGTGATCATATCTTTGTGTTTCAGGAGATACTCATGCATGTCATTTAATTAACATTTCCCGTCCTATGATAATCCCTTTGGCCTCTTGAAGTGGAAAGCCATGGGTTTGACCTGCATCAACTTTTACTATATCCTATGACATATCATAGATGTGAAAATTTTCTTTTAGGTCATAATGCATCTAGTCACAGTGGCAACCATTCAGACTCTATAGCATCGGCTGTTCACAATGAGACACATTCTGTTCTGGAAGAAGTCCACCATGATGCATCTAGTCACAGTGGCAACCATAATGCATCTAGTCACAGTGGCAACCATTCAGACTCTATAGCATCGGCTGTTCACAATGAGACACATTCTGTTCTGGAAGAAGTCCACCATGATGCATCTAGTCACAGTGGCAACCATAATGCATCTAGTCACAGTGGCAACCATTCAGACTCTATAGCATCGGCTGTTCACAATGAGACACATTCTGTTCTGGAAGAAGTCCACCATGATGCATCTAGTCACAGTGGCAACCATAATGCATCTAGTCACAGTGGCAACCATTCAGACTCTATAGCATCGGCTGTTCACAATGAGACACATTCTGTTCTGGAAGAAGTCCACCATGATGCATCTAGTCACAGTGGCAACCATAATGCATCTAGTCACAGTGGCAACCATTCAGACTCTACAGCATCGGCTGTTCACAATGAGACACATTCTGTTGTGGAAGAAGTCCACCATGATGCATTTAATGCTTCAATATCTTTGCCATCAGAAGTTTCACATGACAACTCTTCTAACATGGCTAACTTAAACAATAGTATTCTGAGTTCTGAAAATGAGAAAATTAGGAATTTGGAAAATGGAACCAATACCGGAAGAAGGCTTCTTGAAGATGACGTGTCAAAAAGAGCTGAGGAAGATGTTCAAGCTGCAACTGTGGAAAATGAAGAAGGTCTAGAAGCGGATGCTGATTCATCTTTTGAGTTATTTCGTGACAGTGATGAGTTGGCAGATGAGTATAATTACGATTATGATGATTACGTTGATGAGCACTCGTGGGATGATGAAGAATTTCAGGAGCCAGAGCATGAGAAAGTAGAGGATTATGTGGATGTTGATGCTCATGTTTTGTGTACGCCTGTAAGTCTTTTACAAGGTTATAAGATAGATATTTATTATGATCCTGATGGTTTTATACTTTTAAGGGTCATTTCATTTGTATCAGGTCATAGCAGACATTGACAATGATGGGGTGTCAGAGATGATTGTTGCAGTTTCCTATTTCTTTGACCATGAGTAAGTTCTCTCTTATGAGGTGCTGTTTTTGTTCGTAATGCTGTCTTGTTTCGCTCTGCTGACTGTGTCACTGCTGATTGCTTCATTTATTGTGTCATTAGAAAGTTACTATTTTTTCCTGGTGCAGTGCGTGCTTAGGAACACTGCAAAATATGTTTTTTTAATTGTCACTTGCAAAACATGTTAGTTTTGGGGAAAGCGGTTCTTATCTATAATCTGATAGTTGCTAGGCTTGTTGAACATGCTGGAATTAGGTTGTTACTAATCTTGAATCAGCTCTGCATTGGATAGGTTGATTTCAAAGCACAGGTCAGCTCTGACAATTAGTGCAATTAGTAGAGTCTAAGATCTTTTGAGTGGCTCCTATTCGTGTCTCAGCCACTACTTCTTGATGTCTCTCATCTTTGCTAATTGAGGACGCTTAAATTTCTTATGGAACACATGTGCTTTGAAGTAACTCATGTCAATGTCAGCCCCTTTGTTTGCTTCATTTAGGTGTCTACTAGCATTGGCAACAACTATTGCAAGTTTAGTCTAGTGCATATGTCACTGCCGATTGATCTTTAATCAACAGGTACTACCAAAATTCGGAGCATTTGAAGGAGCTTGGAGACATTGAAATTGGAAAATATGTATCTGGTGGTATTGTTGTTTTTAATCTAGATACCAAGCAAGTTAAATGGACTCTACAGCTGGACCTAAGTACTGACTCAGAGAACTTCCGTCCCTACATCCACTCTGCCCCTACGGTAGTTGATTTGGATGGTGATGGAAATTTGGACATTCTAGTTGGGACCTCTTATGGAATGTTTTATGTCTTGGATCACAAGGGTAATCGGTTTTCATTTGTTTTATCTTCTTGTCATGTTGCTATATACTTTTTAAGCATCTTTAAACTTTCAAATTTCTATGATCCACCTGAAAAGTAAATACCCCTTTTATGCCATGATATTTTTATTTTGTGCCATTTTCTTCTAAAGCTTGCATGTGCCCTTTCCCTGCTAGCTTTCCTTTTAGATTGATTAAGCCCATGAGTTTGAGGTAGTTCCTGGTTGAAACCAATAGGTATTGATTGGTGCAACTGTATCCTATTGACTTGGGTTGTAGACATGTCTATCTTGTAGAGGAATAAGCAAGAGCATCCTTTTGTAGTCTGATCTGTATATATTATTGTGCATCATAGCCTTTACCATTTCAAAGCAAAAATATTATTGTGCATCATCATAATGTTTTGAAGGCTTAAAGATTTACTGTGTCAGGGAAAGTGAGGGATAAGTTTCCTCTCGCAATGGCTGACATCCAAGGAGCAGTAATTGCAGCTGATATAAATGATGATGGCAAGATTGAACTAGTTACTACAGATTCACATGGCAATGTTGCTGCATGGACTGCACAGGGCAAAGAAATTTGGGAAAATCATCTTAAAAGCCTTGTTCCTCAGGTACACTATGGTTTCCTGTCTCCTTAAATTTAGGCAGAGTGTGATATGAATTGCAAAACTTTTAAAACCCCAGGGACCTGCCGTTGGTGATGTGGATGGGGATGGCCATACCGATATCGTTGTTCCAACAGTTTCAGGGAATATTTATGTTCTGAGTGGCAAGGATGGCTCCATTATACGCCCATATCCTTACAGGACTCATGGTAGAGTGATGAATCAAGTTCTTCTTGTTGACTTGACCAAACATGGGCAGAAGAAAAAAGGGCTTACAATCGTTACTACATCATTTGATGGTTACTTGTACCTCATAGATGGACCTACATCATGTGCTGATGTTGTAGATATTGGTGAAACATCGTAAGATATATCCTTAGATTCTCTATTTCTTTTTTCGTCTGTACTCTTTTAAAAGGATAAGATCTTTCAAAAAAACATATTTGGACATCTTCTTTTCTCTGCTCTTGTTCACAGATACAGCATGGTCTTGGCTGACAATGTTGATGGTGGAGATGACCTCGATCTTATTGTGACTACCATGAATGGCAATGTCTTCTGTTTCTCGACACCTTCTCCACATCATCCCCTCAAGGTACTCAACAAGATCATCCTTTTTGGCTTTTGCTTGGTTAAGATCTTTGATCAGTAGTATCTGCATGATATCAACTGCAGTCATGGAGATCACCTAACCAAGGGAGAAATAATGCTGCATATCGATTAGATCGTGAGGGAGTCTATGTTACTCCATCATCAAGAGCTTTCCGTGATGAAGAAGGCAAAAGCTTTTGGATTGAAATAGAAATTTTTGATAAATACAGATATCCATCTGGGTCTCAAGCTCCATATAATGTCACGGTAAAAGAGCTTTACCTTCTAGTCAAGTTTGCCTTGTATTAATAATTAATCTCTCTCACTGCTTACTAGTGAGTAATGGTCCTCTTTTTATTTCTCAATTACTACACAGGTGAGTTTGTTAGTACCTGGCAATTACCAAGGTGATAGAACTATTAAGCAAAATAAGATATTTAATCAACCTGGAAAACATCGGCTTATGCTCCCAACTGTTTCTGTGAGAACTGCTGGTACAGTGTTGGTGGAGATGGTTGACAAGAATGGGCTATATTTCTCTGATGATTTCTCCTTGACATTCCATTTTCATTATTATAAGCTGTTAAAATGGCTTCTCGTTCTTCCTATGCTGGGGATGTTTGGTGTGCTTGTCATTCTTCGTCCGCAGGAGGCCATGCCATTACCATCATTTACGCGAAACACCAACCTCTGATGTTGCACAAATAAAATACAACACATCTTCATCGGGTTATAGAAATGAGGCATCTTCTCCAGCTGGAACTTTGAGCTGACAACGGCCTTTGTGGCCAGCGGGAATGTTCAGCAATTCAACTGTGACTAGTACGTTGAACTGTATAGGAAAAAGGGACAATTGCTTTTGATCCTACCTGAATATGAATTGTGAGCATACAAGTCGGTTTGTGACATTATTGTACCCCCTTCCCCAGGTGTAACTTACTTATAATTGTTAGACACATTCGAGTAAACAATGACTATTTATGGAACCACAAGTTTGTTCCAAGGCGGTTAACTTTCATTTCCCTCAGAAGTTTTGTACTCTTACTTTAGTACTGTATGATGACAATAGAGCTAAGTTCGACCATCTTATTGAACCACATTGTTCTTCTGTCAGATTGTTTATCGTGTGTGTTTGAGTTCACCATTCATGCTTTTGCCAGTAAAGTTGATCTTATTATTGTAATTACTTGCCTCATTACAATTGAAGAGACCATAATCGATAAGCTGGAACTGACCGTAGATTTCTTGAACTGTTTATGTTACATCACAAATTTCGTTAATTCATCATTTTCCCTTCATTACAGTTGAGATTTCAATAGACGGTACCAACATTTTCTAATCAAGACATGGGATTATACGATCTTGCGTTAAGATGAAACATAAATTTCAATTCTAATTTAACCTCTTATTTTATTTAAAATGGGATTTTGACCTTGAGAATGCAAAAAGAAGTGCCAATGGAGAATGTAAGATAAATATTGGTTGATTTACATGCATCTTTACAAACAAACTCTCTATCCAACATGCCTTTCTTGATTGATCTGATCAGATACCTACGAAAAACAACTATGTGTGGAACAGTTCTTCAAGGACAATGCTCCTGCCTCGGAAAATGATCTTATCATTGCTTTCTTCTGGCAAACTAGATCACAATGAGTTAAATTGAATCAAGAAGCTCGTAATGGATGGGTTTGAGTTGTCAGTTGAGCAGCCGACCCAATCATGAAGCTATAATGAGGAGTATTTTACAATAAAACAAGTATTTTGAGCAGATATTGGGACATGGATCGAGACTGGGAACTGAACTCTATGAGATAGAATCCCCTGAACTATCAGCTCTTCGACTCCCCTTTATCTAGTGGCTTACCCTCCACACAAGCTCCAACTGACAAAGGGAAAAGACTCACCCACGACAAGGTTTTACATGTAGGCTACAATGGATATATTGGAATATCTCACCAGCGTTAAACATATATGGGTTCTTCAGAGTGGGCCGGTGAGCCAGGAGTGCCATAACAAGCAAATTATGTTACCACAAAATGTAGAATTGGAGTGACTGAACTAATAACCTGTAAGCTGCCTAGTGTTCTAGTGTCTACCCTAATAGGTTATCCTGCATAACCAACCTACTTTGGCAAAAAGACTACAACACTTTGAAGTGAATGCGAAAACCTTTCTAAGAATTGAACATGGAGTCCATGTACTTGCACTAGTAGCTTTCCCCATGTAAAAGGGCAAGGCATACACAATATTTGAGACATTAACTTTGGGCCATGTTCAATAACGTACTCCAAGGGACGACTAAGAATGAATATCTAATACTTCCTACTAAACAAACTGTTAAAAGTAGAATTTCAAAAATCAAATGGAAGAACAAAGGTAAAACAACTCTTCAGCTGAGTTTGGCCATCATGACTCAAAAGCTATTTCCAATTCTAACTCATTAAAGATATAACAGAAGATTTTACAGAACCATTGAGGTTGGAATCAAGTAAAGGGAGTAAGTGAAAACTGCCATACTGTGGTTGAGCCACCTTCGCCCAAGGATGGTAAATTGAATCCCCTCTTGACAATTGAGTTCTAAACAAAATCAAATCACATACTCTTTTAATAATAACAGTGTCCGGGGAAACTTGTGTTCGTCTTGACTATTCCACCAAGTACCTTCTACCTCCCACCAGGTAACTTTGCCCAGCAAAGCTTAGGCAAATGGGAAGGAACACTTTTAACTTTATTATGACTTGGCTGGGATTTGAACCTCGACCTTGTGAGTAAGAAGAGCTACACTCCCTTACTTGGTAGCATCAAATAATTCTAGTCATACATAACATGTGCTTATATTAGATTTGTATCATCCAGGAACAAAACTAGTATAGCAAAAAACACGCTCCATTGGCAAAGTTGACAACCAACAGTAGATTTATATACATGTCTAGAGAATCCAGTATCAGTCTGTAAAGCTGAACAGAAAGAAAAAGCATTTGTTGATGCAGTTACAAGTATATCCATCAGAACAAAGACAAGAGAGCTTAGAAGAACATTAATAGACCTGTAAAACAGGCCTTTTGCCAAGCCTTTTGATTTCTCTATCCATTTGACCAGTGAGCATTAAACCAAACATCTTGAAATCACATAACAAAGACCAAAAAGGGTGTCCAAATGTTGCAGGAACATTCCCTTCAACAAAAAAATGACTATACCAAGCCAAGCCATACCCAAGAATTGGCACAAGTATCACAAACCACTTATTAAACAGCACTGTGTAAACCAAGCATAAGATACTGCAAAGTGTACCAACAAAATGCCAACGCCTTGTTGCTGGTTTTGAGTGATGATTCATGTAGTAAGGCCAAAACTCCTCCATGCTTCTGAAATTCATAGCTCCCCACAACTGCAAACTTAATCAAACAGACAAAAAATTGGAATTCTTGATTAAAAATCAGATCTTGGAACCAATCATCAATAATACAGAAATATTTTATCAAGAAAAACAGTTCAAGAAACCCCAAAAATGCTTAGTTGAATCAATTTTCTTGGGGGGTTTGGCTCTAAGGTCAATACCTTGGAGTTCACAATCAAAAACCCAGAAATCTAATCAACAAATTAAGGTTTTGGGTATGACAAAAACACAAACTTTAGCAGCAAGATCCAATAAAAATTGGTGTGGTTGACCAAGTATGTGATTTTTTTTATTTTTTTTTAAAAAGATGTAAAATTGTGGGCCTTGCTAGGTAATGCTATTTGTTTGGGAAATTAAAGAAATAAAAAAGGAAAAGGTGGGTTTGAAGTTATCATCTTCAAAATAGTAATTTTTGTAAAATGGTCTTTCTTTTTATCAGAGATGTGTGATGGCAAAAGAATATATGAGATTTCAGAAATATGTTGATTGGTCCCATTTTTATCTTGTTTTTTCCATGTTGACCATTGTAATTTTGTCCTATTGTTAGTTTGTTACTTGTTGGATAACTTAAAAAAACTAGTTTGCTACTTGATGACTTTGGGGATTGGTAATTGAATATCACTAGGCCCTTTGCTACCCAAAGAAAAAAGGATTAAAAGAAAGACATAATACATAAACACGATCTTTAACTTGACTTCAACGGACAATTATGATCTTTAACTTTGGGTGTGCATAAATAAACACTTCAACTTGTATAAAATTGAACAAATAGACGCATTCGTCCTACATGACACCCTACATGGCAATTTTGTGTCCAACATGATTAATCGTGTGTATTATGTCATGTAGGACACGTGTGACTACTTGTCAATTTTATGTAAATAATCAAATGGAAATAATCAGACAAAAGCTTACAACAAAAATCTCATTAACTAGGGTTCATGTGGTAATTTAAGCATGAACAACTACTTAAGAATCGAAACACATAAAATACCATAGTCACAATAGTTAAGAAATCAGAACTCAGAGTAAGAAACACAAATCAAATTCAGAATTCATGGAACTTTGGGTAGAACCCTAGATTTATCTTTTTACTGACTGAATTTAAATGTAGGGCGTGAATACGAACTTAGTCCAACACTATGAATAGCTTTGCATATATGATTATAAAGCTATTGGGTTTGGAAACTTCATTTTCTTGAGCCTAAGGAAGAACACTAGCTTTCTTTGAGGAAATCTTTGATCTTGGAATCTTGGTGCTTGATCTTGAGAAAAGAAACCCTTTTATGGAGTTCTTAGAGTGGAAGAACTTGGGCAAACCTTGGATGGAAGAATTCTCTTTGTATTTTAAATTTTTGACATGGAAGTTTTAGGGTTCTTGATGGAGAAGAGGAACCCTAGGTGAGATTTGAGAAAAAAATTTGGAGACTTGAGTGTTTAGGTTGATGATAATGAAAGGACAACCAGTTAGTTGAATGATATACTCCTTTAAAACGCCCAAAAAAGACTTAAATTGAGGCTAAAAAGCTCGGAAAAGGACCAAAGTAACCTTGGAACACGTGCATGAAGTTTCTGTAACCATGGAACATTCCATCATCCGTAGTGTCGGCCATGAAACAACGACTGCATGACAAGGATTCACTGAAACGGGCATAAATTTTTTACTCCCAACTCTAATTAATGTAAACTTGATGGAGTTGGAAAGAAACTCATAAACCTTTAGTTTGATAGGTTATGGGCGACCTAACTCTTCATATTTTAAGAGATATGATCGTTTGAAGTTGACCCAACTAAAATTTTATATTGAAACTCAATCTGTAAGGAAGCTTTCAACTCAACTTTGTGATAGATGGTTCTTATTACTTTAATTGAACTCCAAATCTATTCTCATCCTAAAGAATTGACCTTAACACGTAAGCACAACTTAAGAATCACCCGATAAGACCTTATACGCATATGAAGAATGGTTCAAGTCTTAGCATAGAATTTTTTGAGGTGTACAGTTTTTCTTTGGGAAAACTACACAAATTAGACCCATTGGGCGAAGTATTTATCCAAATTGGACCCACAGTTCAAACTAATTACCCGATTTCCCCCTTATTCTATTCACTGAATCACTACTTCTTCATCCCTGATACCATCAGAGTATGATACAACTATAGCAAGTTACTTTCCCTTTATTCTAAATTATCAATTAATGTTATTAAATAGGATTATCTGTAATTACCTTTTGAATGACTTGATTGTGTAAGTAGTTCTTTTACCTAAGTTCATAGAACTTAAACTCATTTAAATTTAGTGGTCTGTAGTGTGTAGGAATTATAGTAGAACAATTATGATTCCAATAAGTATGTCCTGCGTCTCATATTAGTTGATCATTTTTCTTTTTGACACGTATATTAAGAAATCATAAATAAGAAGATAATTTTACTAATTTACGACTTAAAAAAAAATCTTGAGAATTTTACAAACAATTATGAACACTTTAAAAAAAAATTAATTAATGCTTTCTTAATTTAGCAAAGTAGACAATTACTATAGACAACTATTTTTAGTAAGATGATCAATTGCTATGTGACGGTGGGAGTAATAACTAGATGCTTACAAGGAATAAAAAGAAAAAAAAAAGTAAGCTATTCATCTTTCCTTCATTACAGAAAAAGATAAAATAGTAAAACTACACTGAAAAATAAATTAACATATTGTTCACTCA